AAAAAAAAATACACACACAAACACACACAAATTACCATCTTGGGCGGGCACGGTGACTAACGCCTATAATCCCAGCACTTTGGGAGGCTGAGGCAGGCGGATCAGGAGATCAGGAAATCGAGACCATCCTAGCCAACATGGTGAAATCCTATTTCTATTAAAAAATACCAAAAAAAAAAAAAAAATTAGCCGAGTGTGGTGGTGCATACCTGTAGTCCTGGCTACTCCAGAGGCTGAGGCAGGAGAATTGCTTGAATCTGGGAGGCAGAGGTTACAATGAGCTGAGACAGTGCCACTGCACTCCAGCCTGGTGACAGAGCGAGACTCTGTCTCAAAAAAAAATTACCATCTTAACCATTTTAAAATGTATAGGTTAGGAGCATTAACGACATTCACATTATTGTGCAACCAATCTCTCAAACTTTTCCATCTTGCAAAACTGAAACAACAACTCATACTTCCTCTCTCTTCGTCATCCCGTAGGAACCACCATTCTATGAATTTGGCTACTCTAGGTCCCTTATATAGGTTCCATTCTTTTAAGGCTGAATAATAATCCATTATATGTGGAATTCACCAGTAAACCCGTCTGGGCTGGGTGCTTTCTGTTTTGGAAGATTACTAACTATTGATTCAATTTCTTTAATATATGTAGGTCTGTTCAGATTGTCTGTTTCTTCTTGTGTGAGTTTTGGCAGATTGTGTCTTTCAAGGAATTGATCAGTCGCATTTGTGGGTATGAATATTCTTTTATTATCCTTTTAATGTCTGTGGGATCTGTAGCAATGTCTCCTCTTTCACTTCTGATATCGGTAATTTGTGTCTTCTCTTTATTTTTAGTTAGCCTGGCTCGAGGTGTATTGATTTTATTGATCTTTTCAAAGAACTGCCTTTTGGTTTTATTGATTTTTCTTTATTGATTTCCTGTTTTCAATTTTATTCTTTTGTATGGGAATGTCTAGTTTTCCTAGCACCATTTGTTGAAATGACTGTCCTTTTCACCCACTGAATGGTCTTGGCACACTATCAAAAATTGCTTGACAGGCCAGGTGCAGTGGCTCACCCCTGTAATCCCCACATTTTGGGAGGCTGAGGTGGGCAAATCACCTGAGGGTCAGGAGTTTGAGATCAGCCTGGTCAACATGTCAAAACCTTATCTCTACTAAAAATACAAAAATAAGCTGGGCATGGTAGCACATTCCTGTGATCCCAGCTACTTTGGAGGCTGAGGCACAAGAATCACTTGAACCCAGGAGGTGGAGGTTGCAGTGGGCTGAGAATGTGCCACTGCACTCCAGCCTGGGCACCAGTCCGAGACTCTGTCTAAAAAAAAAAAAAAAAAAATGCTTGACCATATATGTAAGGGTTTATTTCTAGGCTGGCTATTCTATTTCATTGGTCTTTTTGTCTTCAAGCCCATACCACACTGTTTTGATTACTGTAGCTTTGTTAGAAGGTTTGAAACCAGGAAGTGTGAGACCTCCAACTTTGTTTTTTAAAAATATTTTGTATGGGGTCCCTTGAGAGTCCATATACATTTTAGGATGGATTTTTCTATTTCTGCAAAAGAAGCTGTTGGGATTTTGATAGGAATTGCCTTATACCTGTGGATTGCTTTGAGTAGTATTGGCATCTTAATAATATTAAGTTTTCCAACCCATGAACACAGGATGTCTTTTCATTTGTTTGTTTCTTTCTTTCAGCACTGTTTTTCAGTTTTCAGTATATAAGCCTTTTGCTTCCTTGGTTAAATATTTTCTTTTTGATGCTGCTATAAATGGAATTGTTTTCTTAATTTCCTTTTTGAATTGTTTATTTGTTAATATGTAGACATGCAACTAATTTTTGCATGCTGGTTTTGTATCCTGCAACCTTGCTGAATTTATTAGCTGTGTGTGTGTGTGTGTGTGTGTGTGTGTGTGTGTGTGTGTAATCTTTAGGGTTTTCTACAGAGGAGATCATGTCATCTTCAAACAGAGGTAAGTTTACGTCTTCCTATCCAACGTAGATGCCTTTTATTTCTTTTCTTTCCTCATTGTTCTGGCTAGGACTTCCAGTACTATGTTGAACAGAAGTGACGAAAGCAGGCATCCTTGCCTTGTTCCTGATCTTAGAGGAAACACTTTATCTTTTGCCATTGAGTGTGATGTTAGCTGTGGCCTTCTCATATATGGCCTTTATTGGGGTGACATCATTTCCTTCCTTTTTTTTTTTCTTGCCCTGTCACCCAGGCTGAAGTGCAGTGGCGCAATCTTGGCTAACTGCAACCTCTGCCTCCCATGTTCAAGCGATTTTCCTGCCTCAGCCACCCAAGTAGCCAGGATTACAGGCATGTGCCACCATACCTGGCTAATTTTTGTGTGTGTGTGTATGTATATATATATATATATATATATATACACTTTTTTAGTAGAGACGGGGTTTTGCCATGTTGGCCGGCTGGTCTCAAACTCCTGACATCGTGATCAGCCTGCCTTGGCCTCCCAAAGTGCTGGGATTACAGGCGTGAGCCACCTCACCCAGTCATTTCCTTCTATTCCTAGTTTTCAGGCACCACTCCTGCCTTTCCTTTTCCTTTGTCCTCAAATCCAGATGGAGACCAGGTGCTCACCCTCCTTCATGCAGCAACCCTTCCTTTAAGGTGGATGCCTGGAAGAGGGCAGCTTGAATTTTCCTTCTTCAGAGAATTTGCCCACAGTTCTCTTCCTCTTTCCATTAATTCATCCAGTTGTAAGACAAACCTTTGTTGAGACTGCACTAGGCTTGGCATAGTGTTTTTCATCCACAGGTGGTTTCAGGTATGTTGTCTCAATCCTCCCAGGAGCTGTTTGAAATAGGAATTGTTTCTGTCCCCAGATTTAACACGACTCACAGCACTGATGAATTTATGCCTGGCTGCCTTGCTTTTGCGTCCATCCCTTAAGCGGTATTGCTGGCACTGTGCAAGTGCCTCCTGTCTCTGAAAGCTGCCTCTGATCCACGTGGAAGGGGCCCAGGAGTTCACTCTCTCTCTTTGTATTCATAGAGGTCCTGGGCCTATGTCAAGAAGTGCAAAAACAACATGTGTCCAAATTGGGGGCTGGTGACTCAGCTGCTGGAATGGGAGAAGATTATCCTTGGAGGTTTCATCACAAACATCACGGATCTACTTTACTGATCTCCACGGCCCCAGTGAGAGGGGCCTCGCTTGGGGGCTTTTTGTGGCTGGAGGGCCAGAGTGTGTATACCCAGGCTTGTCTGGAAGAAGGCCTTTGCCACCTGAAAGTCTCATGTCAGCCTCCTGTACTGATTTTCCCAAGCGCCTGTTCACGACACACAGCAGGTGCGCCTTGCTCAGGCTCACTGAGAATCCGCATCCCCGGGGCATCCTGGGCCATCCCTCCTGCCCCCCTGTGGCTGCCTCTGGAAGAGCATCTGGCTGCTAGAGCAGCTGCCCCACACCCCCCTGTGACCTGGACCCTTTGGGGGCTGCCTGGGGGCACCCAGAGGTTGCCTGTGTTGGTTCCCAGAGGATATCACAACACCCACCAATGGGCAGAGATCCCCTATCCCGAGATACCAAGCCCAGCCTTGTCCAGGCCCCAGGCTCCTGGAATGGGGTCACACCCTTGCCTCATCCCCAGTGCTTCCTGCCATCTGCCCTTTGAAACACATTTCCTTTCCCTGCTCCCCACTCATTTCTGTCTGGCTGAGTTCACCAAGGAGAGATTTGCACCCTCCCATCTCCAGCTTTCTAGAAATTCCTAAGGTCTCAAAAGGTTTCCCTTTTTTCCCCCTTTCCTCTTTTTTTTTTTTTTTTTTTTTCAAGCACCGTCTTGCTCTGTCTCAGGCTGGAGTGCCGTGGTGCTGTCGTGGCTCATGCAGCCTCAACTTCCCAAGGCTCAAGGGATCCTCTTGCCTCAACCTCCTGAATGAGTAGCTGGGACTGCAGGTATGCACCACCACACCTGGCTAATTTATTTTTATTTTTGTAGAAACAGTCTGGCTCTGTTTCCTAGGCTGGTCTCGAACTCCAGCCTCAGCCTTACCAAAGTGCTGGGATTACAAATGTGGGCCATGGCGCCCAGTTGGAAGCTGTTTCCTGAATGCACTTCTCCAAAGCTGACAGTACCCACAGAACAAACTGGGCATCAGGAGACGGCACAGACTAGGGAGCTGGTAGGGGATTCGGATGTCCATTCATGTGGGGCCTTCCCCAAGTCCCTTTGGCAACCATTCCCTGCCCCCACGTGCGTGGAGCTGAGAACAGAGAGATGAATGCCATCCCACCACCTAGCACTCACTGCAGAGGGATGGAGGGGGTGTGGGATTCCCCCCAGGGCAGGCCTTCAAGGAGGAGTGGGGTTTTGCCAGAGAGGGAAGGGCTTTCCAAGCAGCCCCGGCTTGAGTTGGGACAGAGACCGAGATGGCTGCAGAGCTCTGTCTGATTAGGGACCTCTTGGTGGGCAGGACAGAGCCGCTGGAAAGTTTTAAGCAGGAACATGATGGGGAATTGTGTTTTGGGAAGGGCAGTCTGGTGGCTACAAGAAGGGACAGTGGAGGTGAGGCAGGGAGAAAGGAGGCCGCTGTCAAAATCGAAGCTAGAGAAGCAGCTCTAACTCCCTTCCCCAAAGGGGCTGAGCTTTCCAAGGACGAAAGTGTTGCAGGCAGGTGTTACCCTCCTGGACCTTGGTTTGCTCCCAGCATGACAGGCCAGAGCCCTGCTGGCTGCACCGCGCGGCTGGCACAGTCGGTGCAGTCCAGGCCCAGGGGCTGCAGCCGCTCCAGTCCCGGTCCAGGCCGCAAGTCGCAGGGCCAGCAGCAGCCCGGGCGCACGGCCCCGCCCCTTCCCCGCCCCTTCCTCGGATTGGCTGGGGTGGGGGCGTGGCCTTTTCCCATTGGTTCCCGCGGCGGCGCGAGCCCGGAAGCGGACGGGGGCGGTGGCGGAGGCGCCTCGGGCGGGCCGGGGTTGCTGCGCCTTCCTAGGCTCCTGGCTCTGGGCGCTGCAGCCATGCAGCCCCCGTCCCCGGGCCCGCTGGGCGACTGCCTGCGGGACTGGGAGGATCTACAGCAGGACTTCCAGAACATCCAGGTGAGCGCCGCTGCGGACGCCTGGTGGCCCCCGAGCCGCGTCTCGTTGGCTCAGGGTCAAGGGTCGGTCAGCCCTGGGTCAGGCGGCGGGGAGCTCAGGGTCAGGGGTAGGGGCCCTGGCGTCACTCCCGAGGGCGGCGAGGTCCCGGGTCCTGGTGTCCGCCGCCGCTCTCTCCAGTGTCCGGGGACTACGGCGGGACCCCACCGCGCTCGGCGACCTTGGTCTCCAACGAGGACCTTGGAAAGGGGCCCAGACCCCGACCCCGTCCCCTCCCGGGAGAGAGCGGGCGCCTGAGTCACACAAGGGCGGGCCCAGCCTTGGGTCAGCCACTCAGCAAACGTGCAGCTGGCAGCGTCCGAGAGGCAGCCCGGGTCGGGGGAGCGGTGTTTAGGGGGAAGTCCTCGGCCTGGATGTCGGATGTCCGGATGTCGGGGGCGCCCGAGGGGGAGGGACGTCGCCTTTAGAAGGAAAGAGGGGACTTGACAGGCCCATGTGGCTGCACCAAGGAGAGCCAGGGAAGAGGTGGGCGGGGCCAGGCCCTGCGGGGACGCCCTAGCCTGGCAGAGATTGGAGTCCCTCTGAGGCCAGTGGAAAGCTATGGGAGAAATTGTCTGAACCGGGCTCCGCGGGGCCACCGTGGCTGTTCTGTCCAGAGGCCAGGGAGGAGGAAGCTGCTGGCCTCTTCCAGGCAGGGGACAGGGCAGTGGCTGTGGGTGGGCAGAAGTGGCACATGCCGGGGTCTGAGGGGCGTGGTGACTCCTCCTGGGCATAAGAAACAAGATCCAGGCAGAGTAGAGCCTCGGCCAGCTGATGGCTTGGTTAGGCGGTCGCTTCTCCGGGATGGGCTCCAACCCCTTCCTGTCAGCATTGAAGCCCAGCTGCCCCCTGGCCCTGCCAAGCCCCTTGCCATTGGTGCTTCTCCCCAGAGATCTGAGGTGACCCAGTCTCCATGCCTGGCCGCTGCTGTCCTGGCCGCAGCCCCAGCTTGGCTCTTCCCACACTGCCCCTTGCCCCATCTCTAAGTTGTGCCTTCTTGAAACTTACCCACCAGGGCAAAGTGCTCGGGAAAGCCTTGGGCCAAAGGTGCTGGGGGAAGGGAAAGATGTCAGGAATGCCTGAGAACCTGAGCGCCCCCTGTACCCGAAGGCTGGATAGGCAGGAGGAGCTTCGAGGACAAAGGGGTGGCTCTAGGGGTCCTGCTTGGTCCACGAGGTGGTCCTGTGGGCCTAACCTCCAGAGTCAAGGTGGGAAAGAGAGAGCCCTTCCGTGTAGGGTGGGGAAAACTAGCAGATGGGCTGAGACTAAGAAAACCTTGACCCGGGGCGGTGGCTTATGCCTGTAATCCCAGCACCTTGGAAAGCCAAGTTGGGTGGATCACCTGAGGTCAGGAGTTCAAGACCAACCTGGCCAACATGGTGAAACCCTCTCTGTATATAATAGAAAAATTAGCCGGGCATGATGACAGGTGCCTGTAATCCCAGCTACTTCAGCCCAGGAGGCTGAGGTGGAAGAATGGCTTGAACCTGGGAGGCAGAGGTTGCAGTGAGCCGAGATCATACTATTGCACTGCAGCTTGGGCGACAGAGACTCTGTCTCAAAACAAAACAAAAAACTCCTAGTCTGTTTCTGGGGGAGGCGTACGATGGAGGTCTTCGGGCTCAAGGAGGACACCCAGGTCCTCGCCTGCCTTGGGGAGAGAGCCACCTCGTCCCTAGGCAGGCCCAGAACTTCTGCCTCCTTTCCCGCTGAGCAAGCCCTGGGGGAGCCCGTGCCCCACATCCTGCCTGCAGGTTTTGGCTCAGAGGCTTCCCAACCAGCCTGAGCCTTCTCCCTCTGGCCCCCAGGAGACCCATCGGCTGTACCGCCTGAAGCTGGAGGAGCTGACCAAACTGCAGAACAATTGCACCAGCTCCATCACGCGGCAGAAGAAGCGGCTCCAGGAGCTGGCCCTCACCCTGAAGAAGTTAGGTGCCCCTACCCCACCCGCCGTGGGCCGAGTGCGGGGTGGGAGGGCTGGTGCTGTGAGACCCTGGGCACAGCTCCTCTCCTCACTGGGCTGTGTTCGCCCTTCTGCCCCTGTGGGAGTCAGGTAGTCCGCCCGCCCTGACTCACTCTGGCCTCACCCGCAGATGCAAACCCTCCCTCCCAGCAGAGGCCGAGGAGGCCGCGCAGGAGCTGGAGAACCAGATGAAAGAGCGTCAAGGCCTGTTCTTTGACATGGAGGCCTATTTGCCCAAGAAGAACGGGTGAGGGCCCCCACCACCGAGCCCCAGCTCAGTTCCCAGCCACTCCTGTGGGGGAGGCCTGAAGCCGGGTGCTGTCTCTTCTTGGTTATTCAGTCAGCAAATGTTCCCTGGGCCCAGTTTGGGCTGAGCAGTGAGGCCCAGTGCTGACTACAGGGGGGACGCCCGGCTGAGGGTGACAGCTTACTGTGAAGGCGCTTTGTAGGGGAGCACGGGGGATGTGGTGGCGCAGTGAAGGACACCTGACCCAGGCCAGGGGGTTGCAGAAGGCTTGCTGGATTAGGGGATGGCTGGCCTGAGTCTTAAAGAATAAAGAGTGGGCCAGGCACCATGGCTCTCACCTGTAATCCCAGCACTCAGGAGATGGAGGCGGGAGGACGGCTTGAACTCAGGAGTTCAAGAGTAGCCTGGGCAATACAGTGAGACCCTCTGTCTCTATTTCAAAAGAAAAAAATAGGCTGGGTGTGGTGGCTCATGCCAGCACTTTTTTGGGAAGCCAAGGCAGGAGTTGAAGTTAGGAGTTCAGGAGTTCAAGACTGGGCAACATGGTAAAACCCATCTCTTAGTACAAAAGTTAGCCAGGCGTGGTGGCGGATGCCACCAGCTACTTGGGAGGCTGAGGCAGGAGAATCACTTGAACCCGGGAGGCAGAGGCTGCAGTGAGCCAAGATCATACCACTGCAGTCCAGCCTGGGTGACAGAGTGAGACTCCGTCTTAAAAAGTAAATAAATAAATAAAAGAGTGAGGCAGACACATGGGCTGAGGGGGAGAGGGAACAGCAGGTGGACACAAAGGCCATGAGCAAAACTGTAGTGGCCAGAGCTCAGGGCGGGAGGTGAGAGGGAGAGAAGAGATTGGAGGCTCTGCTGGGCTGCGGTGCTTGCCTTGAGCCCAGTAGGCAGGAGAGAGGGAGGGGCGACGTGTGCACTTAGAAAGGCCAGCTGCTGTCACCCAGGATGTACGGGGCAGTGCAAAACCCTTGGCTGAGTGAAAACATCCAGCAGAGGCTGCGGGCAGGGAGACAGCTGGGAGAGAGCGTGGCCCAGAAGCCAGGGAGAAAAGAGTGTCCATAGCCTCAGGTCAGTCCTGTGAGAAGGAAGGGGACCCACTTCCTGGAAGTCAGGTCACCTTGACGAGAACCATTTGATGGAACTGGTGGACGTTGATCTTGGGGATGACAGAAGAGCCAAGGAAGGGAGATAGCCAAGTCTCGGAGACTTTTTAGAGTGTGGCTGTGAGCAGAGGGAGAGAACTAGGAACTAGGAACTGGAAGTTAGCACTGGGTCGAGGTGCAGCTGCTGCCTGGGTTGGGGGTTACTTTGTCCCTGGGAAGACTCGAGCACATCCACCTGCTGAGAGGAGGGGCTGGGAGGGGAAAGACGGTACAGAGATGAGGGTGAGGAGTGCTCTTGGCGCAGTGCTCTCCAGGGATCAAAGGCCAGGCTGTCTTCTCTGCCATGTTGCATGTGGGGTCGGGATGGGAGGAGACGGGATGGAGGGTTCAGGGGAGAGGATGTGGAAAGGCCACTGCTGGGAACCGGACGGGGAGCTGAGTGGGGACGAATCCGTGCCTGGTGGGTTGGCACTGGAGGCTGGAGCTGGCCTGCATGGGGAGCACTGTGCCGGGAGCACGCTGTAGAGGGAGAGGCATGGATGGGAGCTCCTGCCCTGCCCCAGAATCTCTTTCTGGTCTTGTGCAAATTGCCTAACCACGCTGAGCCTCTGTCCGTTTGGCTTGAGGGTGAACAGGAGCCCATGTGTTGGGGGCAGGTCCTGAGAAAGTGACTGTGACTTTGCTGTCACCTCTTGGAGTGTCTCTGGCAGAGAAGGGCAAGATGATCTCAGCTGGGGGGTGTGGAGGCTGGAAATTAAGGGGTCTGGCAAGAAAGTGGTGGAGTTGGAGGGTGGCCTGGGGATTCAGCCGGCTCTGACGAGATCTGGGACTGGAGATGGTGGGGGGCTCGGTGAAGGAAAAGGGGGTCACGGTGGGGAAAAAATGCACTGGAAGCTGAGCACTTGGGGTCAGCAGTCAGAGCTCTGAGTTTCTGTTCTGGTTTGGGAGGAGGTCCCAGGTGTGTGGTTGTGGACCTAGACCGAAGGTTCTGAAGGGGAGGTGGCAGGGAGGGGGCGTAGGTGGTGACCATCCGCACAGAGGAGCAATTGGGGACATGGGGATGGCCCTCAGTGGGGAGGGAGAGCCAGGTTCTCTTGGGACCCTGAAGTGGGGGAGTTTCAGGCAAGACTCAGGAGATAGGGGATACCTTCTCCAGGGGAGCAGGTGGCGAGGGAGGCTGGGCATGGCAGGGAGTGGGTCTGCAGCCCCCAAGGTCAGAACCCGATACTGAGGCCATTCGGAAGGCGGCAGGGGTGGAGGGTGGCACAGGCTGTGGCCTGGCAGGCTCGGCTGAGTGCTGTGACTCCTGTCATTCGGCCTCTCCTCACCCTGCCACCCCCTTGCCCCTAGGTTGTACCTGAGTCTGGTTCTGGGGAACGTCAACGTCACACTCCTGAGCAAGCAGGCTAAGTAACCAGGCCGGGCCTCCACCCCCCCAATCCCCCACCTCCCCTCTGCCCAGCTTCCCTTGGCTCTGCCTTAGAGTTCAGGGGCTGCCCTCCTGGGGTGGGGGCACACATGGGCCCCACCAGCACCCCACCCGTCTCACTGGCCTGTGCCCCGCTAGGTTTGCCTACAAGGACGAGTATGAGAAGTTCAAGCTCTACCTCACTATCATCCTCATTCTCATCTCCTTCACCTGCCGCTTCCTGCTCAACTCCAGGTGGGAGTCCCGCTAGGTTTGCCTACAAGGACGAGTATGAGAAGTTCAAGCTCTACCTCACTATCATCCTCATTCTCATCTCCTTCACCTGCCGCTTCCTGCTCAACTCCAGGTGGGAGGCCCGGCCCCATCCCCAGGCGCTGCAGCACCAACCCTCTGTCCCCTCCCTCCGCAGGGTGACAGACGCTGCTTTCAACTTCCTGCTGGTCTGGTACTACTGCACCCTGACCATCCGGGAGAGCATCCTCATCAACAACGGCTCCCGGTGGGCAGGGCAGGCCCCGAGGCTTTCCCCACGGGTGGGAGCATGGGAGGGGAGTGGGGAACGGGGCGCCGGGACCCTCCAGGAAGCAGGAGCAGGCCCTGGGGGTGATGGTGGCTCTCTGCTCCAGGATCAAAGGCTGGTGGGTGTTCCATCACTATGTGTCCACCTTCCTGTCGGGAGTCATGCTGACGTGGTGAGTGACTGGGCCCCAGCAGGGGCAGGAGCTGGGACAGGGAGGGGACAGACGGTGTCCCCAAGGGTCCCCACACTGCCCTCTACTTTCTATCTTAGGCCCGATGGTCTCATGTACCAGAAATTCCGGAACCAATTCCTGTCCTTTTCCATGTACCAGAGTGAGTGTCCCAGACGTCCGTGCTGAGCCCCGGAGGCAGCCGTGGTGGGGGGTGGGGGCAGGGAAGGCCCCCAGGCTCAGCCCCACTGTGTCCTCCGCCGGCCCAGGCTTCGTGCAGTTCCTCCAGTACTACTACCAGAGCGGCTGCCTCTACCGCCTGCGGGCACTGGGCGAGCGGCACACCATGGACCTCACTGTGGGTGAGCGGGGCTTGGCCTGGCATCTGGGCATGGGGGCTGGGATACCCTCCTCTCCTCCCATCCTGGGTCTGAGTGGCGGCATCCCCTCCGTCCCTGGCCGTCCTGTGCCCTGACCTTCCTCCCTGCAGAGGGCTTCCAGTCCTGGATGTGGCGGGGCCTCACCTTCCTGCTGCCTTTTCTTTTCTTTGGACAAGTAAGTCGCGCCTCTGTCCCCATCTGTTTGTCTGTCCGTCCTCTGCTCCGGCTTTGGGCACGAGCAGGGACTGGGTTTTCTGAATAAAACACTGCCTCCTCCCTGCTCAGTTCTGGCAGCTTTATAACGCGCTGACGTTGTTCAACCTGGCCCGGGACCCTCAGTGTAAGGAGTGGCAGGTGAGCCGGGGTTCCTGGAGCGGCGGCTGGGGGGCCGGCCCAGGCCCAGTCCTCACCCCATTCTTCCCACAGGTGCTCATGTGCGGCTTCCCCTTCCTCCTCCTCTTCCTCGGCAACTTCTTCACCACCTTGAGGGTCGTGCACCAGAAGTTTCACAGTCAGCGGCAACGGAGCAAGAAGGACTGAGGCTGGGGCTTCCGTGTCCCGTGTGTTGTGGGAGGGAATAGGCGGCACCCCTCCAGTGTGTGTGTGTATCGGGGGAGGTCTCTGTTCTCCCCTGGGTTTTGTGGGCTCTGTGGGCCCTGAAGGAAGACCTGGGCCCAGTGCCCTCAATAAAGAGAGGCCCAGAGGTGGCCTGAGCATGTGTGTTCTCCCGGGGGAGGGCAGGACTTGGTGGCCCCACCACACAGGTTCCTGGGGTCAGTTGAGGTGACCCAGGTGGAGGCCACCGATCTTCTCACAAGATACCAGGCAAATTCAGAAAACAGAACTTTATTCCAAGGGCGAGAGGTTATTTAAAATTATTTACACTCATTGCAAATCACGTGGAGCGGCTGGGCCCAGCTCAGCTGAGAGAAAGAGCCCTCCTGTGCGGCCACCAAGGGCTGGCGCCGTCCCAAGGCGTGGGACCCAGTGTCCTGGCCGCTGCAGACCCTGGTGGACCTCACATGGCCTGGGAGGCTCAGGAGGGTGAACCCCAGGCCCGGAGGAGTCTTTGTCACTGGGCCTGCGCCTGTGCCAAGCCGAACCCACCCAGGAGACTGTGGGAGGGAGCGAGAGTGATTACAGGCCATAGCCTGCGGGGGCGGGCGGGATGGGCTGGGCCCTAGCTCCACACGTCGAGGGAGTAGCGGCCCTTGGTCATCAGCTTCTTAATGTAGTCCACAGCCTGCGCGTGCTCCATGGCCCCGAGCTCAGCCACGATGTCGCAGAAGGTGTTCTGCACGTCCCTGGCCATGTTCCGCGCATCCCTGGGTGGAAAGAGGGGGTGCTGGGGGCTGGGCCAACTGACAGGGCCTTGTCCTCCCCACCGCCTACTCCAGTGCCCCCACTTACCCGCAGGTAAAGACTGGGTGCCGGCCGCCTTCCCCACCTGCTATTCCAATCCCCCCACTCACCGGTAGATGAAAATGTGGGCATAATCCTCCCCAGCCGCTACTCCAATCCCCCC